AGAGCGGCAGAGAGACAACAGCAAAAGTGTTATTTCATCATCGCGAAGAGGCGAGAATCGGTGACACAGAGGGTGGGAAGGAGACAGACGGCCGAGGGCGACAGAGTGAGAGTGAGAGAGAGAGAGAGAGAGAGAGAGAGAGAGAGAGAGAGACATAGCGAAACGGAGACGGTGAGAAAAAGCGGAGTTAAAACGGGCGGCAGAGAGAGAAAGAGAGAGAGAGGGGGGGGGTAAGGGGAAGCCGCGGAACGAGAGAGAGAAGGCTCTCCCACGTAACCACGCCCCACGTTCGCCGACAGATTTTTACGTGCGGACTGACCGAGACGGGAAACGGGAGCGTCGAGACCCAAGGGACGCCCGTCCCGTTTGCACCGTAAAACGCGAGTCTCCTCTTCCACCCCCGCTTCCAACTCCCTCCCCCTCTTTATCGGAGGTGGAAATGCAGGCAGGACATCGCCCAGGATTTCCTCTCCTCGGAAACACACCGGTGGCGATCCCGCGGACACGCTAGAGCGACGTCGCGTCTGCTCTATCATCGAGATACGGGGGGGAGGGAGGGAGGAAGGAGGAAGAGCAGAGGAGGAGCGGGAGGAAGACAGAGAGCGGCGAGGAAACGACGCATTAAAACGGTCGTAGAGATTAATTTGTTGGAACAGGGGCGCTGCGCGCGCGCTCTTTTTTCATTTCACGTCAGTGTGTCGTCGTCGTCGTCGTCGTCGTCGTCGTCATCGTCGGTGCACATTAGACGCACGCAGCACGAGCGTCCCGTTCCACCAAGCGGCAGCCGAGCGTGTGATGGCCGCGGATAATAAGCGCTCCACATTCCTTTTTTCCGCGGGGCGGCATGGCCGGCAAAAGAACGCTGCGCGCGCGTGTCTTCCGCTTAAGCAGTCCCTTTGGCGGGAAGACAAAATAGATCATCGATTTAGTTGGCTCCAAAGTCGAGGAAGTCTTATCTCTTTGGGCGGCGCGCGCCGCGCAACACCCTTCCATTACCGGCCTGTATTTATTAAACGTCGGCGGATATTGTGTGTGTGTGCGCGCGCGTGTAAGAAAATCATCGCTAATTATCGCGAAGACCTCCTTCCAGTCGTCATCGCGACTTTCGACGAGTCATCCGCGTTGCAGTTTTCAAACTGCCTCGGATCGATCTCGACGGCGGGTCGTCGCCGCTCGTATTTTAACCCTTTGCTGCCCCTCCCTTCTGAGTGATCCTCCCAGAGTACCACCTATCATCCAAGCTTGTTTTGCCAACAATTATAAATTTTTCCTCATGTTTCTTTAGCATATTTGGCATTGTCGGACTACTAAAATGTTCCTCTAACTAATACATCAACTTTTAGAGTCATTTCAAATAAGTAATTTGTTATTGATAAGCATATACCGAACAAAACTTGCGTTTTTAGAGAATAAATTCGTTTGCATGAAATTTTAAGCAATAACGCGTACTTCAAAATCGTTATCTGGAGGTTTTCGGGGTCACTGAATATAAATCCGGTGTGAAAGATACAAAATTGAAAACGGTGGACCCAATATGGCGGACGGAATTTCCAAATCAGTCGAATTCGCTTGAAACTCGTTACTCGAAGGTTTTTGAGCTGAAGTCGCTGAATACGAATCCGGTGTGAAAAAATACAAAATTCAAAATGGCGAATCTCATGTGGCGAACATAATTATAGAAGTGAAACAAGCTAACTGCGCTTGAGAACCGGTGTTAACTGAACCTTGCCTTGTATATATCCGTTATAGCTCTGGCATTTCGAATTTTCAATAACGAGTTTGTAATTAGCAACCTCGAAAATCCCTGAATAACGGATCTCAAGCGAATTCGTCTGATTTTGCAAATGTCATCCGCCATATTGGATCCGCCACTTTAAATTTCGTAATTTCTCACACCGGTTTATATTCAGCGACCCTGAAAGAAACCCCCGCGACTAACAAGTTTCACAAAATTATATTCATTAGAAAAAAACGTGCAACAAAGGGTTAAGCTGAGCGCGTCTCCACGCCACGGAAATGATTTTTCATCGACTAACGATTTCGGAAAGCCTCTGCCAAGCGATACCCTCGTCTCGTGCAAACAAACCGCGAAAGCGCCCGTCAACTTCTTCATTAACGCCGAGCCTGCGCCGCTTTTCAAACAAACGGGCCAACAAACACGACGGGGGGCAAAAGCTCGAAAACATATTCCGCCCTCGCCCGCTTAGCGTGTACTTTGAAAGAACGCGATTAACGAGAATTTCCGCGGTCGAAGGGATACGCGAGGGAAAATATGACCGTAACCCTGACTGAAGCCAATTTATACCGGCTCTCTCTCCCCCTCTCCCTCTTTCTCTCTCTCTCTCTCTCTCTCTCTCTCTCTCTGTCTCTGTCAGCATGTGACGTACGCCGTGTCTCGAAATAACGTCGCGCGCGAATTGCACAACCGCCGCGTTTCATCATAAAGAACCGCTCCGATCGCGAATTTTACAACCCAGCTCACTGTTGAGCGGGAGGACGGGGGGAGGGGGGGAAGCAATTGCAAAAAAATGAGACATTTCTCGCGCGAATGGCGAGGTCCCGACAACATCATTTGCGCAACATGCGAATGCAAATCTCAGTCCGGCAATTTTCGTCCGTTCGCCGTGCAGCTGCGAAGTCGCTCGTTGACGATCGTCATCGTGCAATTCCTTCGCGCTGTGCGTAAATTAATGCGAATGCCGAGTATATAAATGTGTATTCACAAAACTTTCGTCCAGATCGCACAGATTCTGTGCTGCAAAAAAAAAAAAGAAAAAAAAAAAAAAGAAAGAAAATTTCCCCAATCACAGAATGTTCTTCAACAAACGCCGAGGCGATCTTGGCGGCAACGACGAGAAAAATCGAGGAAATGAATCCTTTGCATCCTGACGGTACTTAGGGGTACCGCCCTTAAATTGTTATAAAATATATTGCTCTTGTTTACACAGTGCGCCAAAAGCTATTTAATTACGCGAAAATTTAATAAGAATTTTTTAGATAAATTAATTCGGGTTAATAGATAAATAGGTCAGGTAAATTAATTCGGGAGGGTAATATAAAGGGTTGCAGATTCCACCCGTGAGAAGATTACACCGGCGCGGTCGCGCACTTCCGATACACCCGGTATCGCCGCGAAGCCACGATGCACGTATCCACGATCGATTCCCCGTGGCGGGCAAAACGCATTCGGCATGATATTGAAAAGTAAAAAAAGAACGGGAAAAAGCCGGCGAACGGCGACGTCGTGTCGCAGGAGGGACGCCATGAGGGATGCATATGCGGCGCGTTATGGAAATCCGGCTGCAATAAAATACGTGACCATTCGCACGCCGCGCAGACCTGCGATAGATAGTAACTCCTCGCGGGAAGGCGCATCCTCCGCAGGACACCTCCGACCCGCGGTATTGGTTGACTTATATACGGCAGAAAGGATCCCGGCAGTCTTCGCGCCGAATGGCGTGACGTGCCTGGAGCGCGCGTGCTGCAGCTTCCCTTTCTTTCGGCTTCCACGCGCAATTAAGCCGGGATAACGACGAGCAATTAAAAGATCTCAGTCAAATGACCGCGCATTAAGAGAAAGTTCGCCTCTTTGTGCTTTCTCGGGGAGGCGGCGGGAGGTGCGCGATCGTCTCGCTCACGCCACCGGGCGATCTCGTGTCGTCGAACGGAGAAATGCTCTCCTCTCCCCTGCCCCTCGTGTCGACACGTCGTCTTCGATTCGTGTCTTGTTAAATTGAATTAACCCTTAAGCGCTAGGGTAGCTGCAAATTCAACCGATATTCCTTAACTGTTGCCGCTAGGTGGCAGCACGTTACGCAGCGGTGCCCCGCTAGGACTTGTAATCAGCGTTGCCAGTCATGGCACATTCGTACCACGTGTGGCACAATTAAAGGTAAATCAGTGGTACACAGGCACAATTTAGTGACTTGTACTGGTGGTGGTGCATTATGCATTTTTTGTGGCACAAAAGAAGAAAAAATGATATAATTCCATTTTTAAGTGAAAGTTTTAAATCTTTGGATTCTATAATCGCATTTTACAAGCAAGAGTATAGACAAGAACACAGGCTTTTGCATAACACATAATACATAACGCATAAGAGAATAAACCAATTAGTTTTCTTCATTTCCCTCCTCAGGATAGAAATGAAGAACTTTGATTGGTTGATTCTCTTATGCGCTGTGTATTACGCTTTATGCAGAAGTCTGCGCTCTGGTCCTATGTAGATTTAGTATAACCAATAAAGTGGCACTTACATTATCTGGAGTGCGTTCGGAACTTGCACATTACGGATAAAGTAACTAGCATCGGATTAACCAATAAGAATAAAAAGAGCAAATATCTTTTTATCATGATTGGTTAATTCAATTACTCTACATTCAGGGCCGTATTCATAGTCGGATCTTATATTTAAGACCGTCTTGAGTTCACATTCAGATATTCTGTAGCCAATGAAACGATCTGTACAACATCTGAAGATGAACTTAAGACGATCTTAAATATAAGACCGGACTATGAATACGGCCCTCAGAGTAAAGTTTCCGCACCTCTAAAGATACACAAGAAGTGTTAGCTTTTAAGATGCAAATATAAGATTAGACAATAAAAACTACTTATAGATTCCTCAGTTGTTATAAAATCTTCAAAATATATTAATTTAGCTCGAATGGCACAAAATGCACTAATGTGGTACACTTTTTGGCACAATCGAACACGGTTTTGCTGGCAACACTGCTTGTAATGTCCACAAATATCTTTATGCTCAAAGATTCTTTTTTTTTTCCATAGAGTTGTCATCTTTCTTTTAAAAAATTGTACGTGATTTGAAACTGCTTTACACATTGCTACAAATTTTTACTAAATATTTATGCTTTATGTACGCTCAGAAAAAGAAATTATGGGTGAAAATCATTCAGCCGTCCTAGTAGCAGAAGGTAATAAAAACATCCTAGTGCCGAATAGTTAAATTGTTGCTAAAGATGCCGTTAAACTGGGCTTACCTTGACCGGGGCAGGAACATGGACCCATCGATGAACACGGAGCCGGAGAGAAGAATGTACCAACTCGTGGCCAACTCGCCGGTGCTGAAAACGACAACGTTCCGATTGAAAGCTCGCTGGGCAAGCTCATGCTCGTGTCGGGCTTGGCATTTCGATTGTGAGTGATAGTTTCCGAGCACAAAGCTTTGTGGGCCTCAATCGAGCGCTCGATCAAGCGAGCGCGGTTACTCGCCGGACGGTTGAACGTTTCAAAATGGCAGGCTTTCTCTCTCGGTGATTTCGCCCTGTGATTGGTCGCTTCGACTCGACCAGGTCCCGACGTTCGGCCTCGCGCTGACATCTGTCGTCGCGACTTGCAAGTTTCTCGCTCGCGACAAGCGACTCTCGGACGCGCCGCGGGTTACCGAGCGGTCGGTAAGGAAGGTTGCTGCCTAGAAGCAGGGCGCGTAAGTTTGACGTTTGGTACAGTCGCACGCGGTATGCTTCGCACATGGTATGATCGTACGCGGTGAGTAACAACTCTCTGAGCTCTCGACTGATGGATCCATCAGTTTTTTTTTCTTCACTTGTAAACCTCGACTAGAGTTTTCAATCCCGGCCCGGGATCCCGGCCAAATTTTTGGTCCCGAAAATACTCGGGATTCAACATCACAAATCCCGGGATTTCGGGATTTCAAAATTTAATGCTTAGTGTCTATATAATACTTACGTTTTACAAAAATTTTACTTTAATAATTATTACTTATTACTGATGTTTTAGAGCATTTGCTAGAGAAGTGTGTATTTATATTTTAAATTTAATTCCATGTATTATTTTTATTTGTTTTAAATATTAAGGGACTTTTCTCCCTTAATTTTAAATTTCGCGGATAAACTGGCGCAACACAGACTCGAATCTGGGATCCTCGATCAGATATTTTTTTAACAAAATTTATGTTTTATTATTTTTAAAGTCGCTTTCTCAAATGTGAAAAAGAAGAAATAATTATTTTTATTTTTATTACAAAAACTTTAATTTTTAATTGTAACGGTTTTTATGCAATCATTAATGTAAGTTGCTTTCATTTTTACTGAAATTTTATTTTTTGTTTGTCATAATGTTCATAAAAGTCTGTGAACGTTCTATAAATAAAATAATTCTATTATTTGTAAATATTCCTTGTTTCTTTCTTTACATATATATATAATCCCGGGATCCCGGGATGGAATCCAAAAAATCCCGAAATCTCGGGATCCTAAATTGTATCCGGGATTGGAAACTCTAACCTCGACGGAATTTCCCCGACCCAACTGCATTAGATTGCAGATCCTCGAAACGTTCACCCAAAGAAAGGTATTCTATTCGTAAAGTGAATTTTCCCGTAGTCTCATATTCTAAGCTTTTTACAGAAAAAGGATTCCTCTTTCGATAAAGCGATTAAAGTGAATCATTCATCTAAAATTTACTAGATATTATTCTAACTGTTTTCCTCTTAATATACAATTATATATATTAATATAAATAATAAATAATACGTAAATAAATAATTAATTAATATAAATAAGTAATAAATAAATAATAAATAATATATTCCTCTAACTTTAAGAATGTGTTTATAATATTTTCCTTTTAATCTTAAAGGAATCCTCTTGAGGCCATGTATAAGAATAAAATCTTCTAAAATTTAAATTATTCCGTTTATTCTGAAATTAACTTTCTTTCTTTCAGGTGTTTTCTTGTGTGTGTGAGAAATCTACACTTTCGCATACATCTCTCAATCAAAATCTCTGCTGAATATCAAATTACAAGTAACGTTTTGAAAAGTCGGCGATCTGCATTTTCTAATGTAGGATAATATCGAATCGGACTTTGAACGTTTCAATTTCAGTGCAATTATGAAATAAAGATCGATACCTTGGAAGCAACGCGACCCGTTTGCTAATTTGCTTCCAAAACAGGAAGACAAATCGTCCTACATTCACGTACATATTCCTCCGTTGCGAAAACGCGCTGGTCGCTCTGATTCCAAAATTGGAAAATAGATGTCGGTAAATAAAGAAATCGATAACTGGCAACTCTCATGGATTAATGCGATAAATCAAGTCCCGTCGCGGCGCAAAAACACACGTGTCGCCGAAATGGCGCGCGCAATTCCTCAACCCTGGCGAACCTTCTTGAAAAAGATTCAACGATAAGTGGCGCGACCAAGAGCCCTCGATATTCAAAGTTAAACATCTCGACGCTCGAATAAGACAGCCGCGACACGGGAATAATCAATGTCGAGCCGGCAAAAGACTACGAAGAGACCGTGGAGCTTTCTTCGCGCGCTTCTAGTCGTCCCGACCCAGACCGTCCGATCACCTTTAACCCTTTGAGGCACTTTGAGGTATTTTTCAGAAAATCCGAACCACATGAAAATTTATATACGGGGTTTCTGGAGTCGCTGATGACGAATCCGTTATCAGATTTTCGACATTCAAGATGGCGCATTCAAGATGGCGGGTTCAAGAAGACAAATATGAAAAATCGCGATAATCTGGAATCCGCCATCTTGGAAAATGAATTTTAGAATGTGAACCTCAGATTCGTAATCAGCGACCTCAAAAAATAACCAGAGTACAATTTTAGCTAATTTAATAAAAATTCTATGATCCGCCATCTTGAATCCGCCATCTTGGAAAAGTAATTTTGAAATTTGGACCTCAGATTCGTAATCAGCGATCTCAAAAACTAACCAGAGTACAATGTTAGCTAATTTAATAAAAATTCTATGATCCGCCATCTTGGAAAATTAATTTTGGAATTTGGACCTCAGATTCGTAATCAGTGAGCCAGAAAATCTCCAAATCTTGGTTTTAAGCAAAAACTTCACTCATAGTTCGTGGAAAATGATTTTTTTCTGTAAAAATGTGTATTTTTCACACTTTGTTTATTTATAATAAATGGACAACTTATGCAAAACACTTTTCAACCTTTCGTGTATGTTCCCTATCATATAAGAAGCTAAAAAAACGCAAAGAACCCGACAAGAATCCCTGATATGAAATACGAAATACGAATATGAAATACGTATTTCATGAAAATGTGAGAATAAATAGGTGGTAAGTATACTTACCTCATAAGTATACTATGCCTCAAAGGGTTAAACGACGTCTTAAATGACGCGCTGAATAACGCGATTTAAGGCAACGAGCATCCGCTCGTGCGTGCAGAAATGACACCCCGAATCTGCAGCCAAGCTCGCACGACCCCCCAAGACGCGCAAGTAAGCGCACCTTTCGCGACTTGCAAGATTCGCAAATGGGCTACTCACTAGTAGAGAACATGGTTCGCATGGTGCCGCTCGTAACGCACGATTTTGCAGAGCCCGCGGAGGATGGAGTCTCTGCACGGACGTAGCGCCTCCAGGCCCAGGAGGCCATAGTAGATGATCTGCAGGTCCTGGAACAGCGGGAAAGCATTGATGTGAGCGCGCGAGATGATGCAGACCCGAAGACGCCGTGATTATTTCCTAATTGGACCGACCGGCGCACACTGGTCTCCCGGGAGATACGTTGTTTCAAAAGTCTATACAAATCTCAAATCTCAATGAATCAACTATTTTTTTTTTTCAAACGTTCATCAGTGAATTTGTAACAAATTACACGAGCTCGATTTCCGATTAGACATTCGAGAGAAATTGTTTGTCTAATCAAAAGTAAAAATTTCAATCAAATGATGAACAACCTTCTGATGATACTGATTATTTCGGGAGATTTTCGATGGTTGAACAGACTGCCGCAGAAAAATGCTTTTCCAAATGAAAAATCAAAATGGCGGACACAAAATATCCAAATTAGATAAATTTACAAAAAACAAAATGTATACGGGGGTTTTTGGAGTCGTTGAAAACGAATATGCACTTAGGCGAAACAATTATACGTAACAATCATATTTCTCAATAAATTGTCGAAATTGTACATTTTCACGTTGGAAAAGTATTTTCCTGCGACAGTCTGTTCAACTATGGAAAATCTCTCGAAATAGTCAGTATCATCGAAGGTTGTTCATCATTTGATGGAAATTTTTATTTTTGATTAGACAAACAATTTCTAGAATGTCTAATCGAAAATCGAGCTCGTGTAATTTGTTACAAATTCATTGACGTACATTAAAAAAAAATAGTTGTAGATTCATTAAGATTTGAGATTTGTAGAGTCTTTTGAAACAACGTATCTCTCGGGGGACCAGTGTGCGGCGCGAAGTCGCGACTTCACACTGAGAGAAAAGTATATGATATTTGGAACTATAATGATATAGTAACTAAATTATAGTCCGAAATATCATATTTATAGTAAGTATTACCATAATATCGGTAATAATTACGATATAGGCATAGTATAACCAACTATATAATATTTTTACAAAGAATTATAGTAAGTTAAACTAAAATTATTGTGTGGATACAAATATAAAATGGTAGGTAAAGTAACTCTCTTATATAGTCAATATTAGCAGAATATTTGCTAAATGATGACAGATGTACCTATATGAATATTAAATCTCACTATATTTGTGAATGAGAAATTACCATACATGTGGTAAAAGTAACTAAACAATTATTTCAGACAATCGTTGACTATATATTTGTGTTTATTCTACTATATCGTGCAGGTTCCACGAACTGTAAAAATATAGTTCACGCCAAAGTGAACTATATAAAATATAGTGAGATTATAGTTGATTCAACTATATTTTTCTATCAGTGCAGCGACTCGCAGCGCGCGAGCGCGGCAAATTGCCGGGCCGCGAGCCGAAGCGATCGCCAGCGCTGCGCGCTACGCGCGCACCGCTGCCCTAATCCGGCCTCGTTAGCGCGCAGCGCGCCCGCGCGCTTATTCATGCACCGCGCGGTGTAACAGATATCGCCGGTCGGGGGACTGATAATCGCGACGCGACGCCAACGCGGCCGGAGGGAGCGCTCGTTGCGCCGGCGCACAGTGGAGCCTGATGACATTCTTTGGTTGGAAATTCTCTAGAGACCTGAATTTCCAACCGATCATCGACGCCAATGGATGAGGTTGATCCTGAAGAAATTCCGAAGAGATCTGTCTTGCCAAAATGTAAAGGAAAAATTTTTTTCTCAAACTACTAGCCCCAAAAGAGGAAAAATTAACGCGTTAAATTAACGCGAGGAACTTGTGAAATACTCATTATTCGACACTTATTTCTATCTAATAGCGTATTCAGCGGATTGAAACTATGAAACCAATCAACAGACACTTCGAGATTTATCGATCTTGAAGCAGAAAGCCATTAACCCAACACTCATATGCCCAAAATACAAAACATCAAATTTAGACCCGTTAAGCACAAAACCGAGGGATTTTGAGTATTAAGCCCATCGATCAAGGAATCTATCGATCCGAGAACTTTTTAGCTCGTGGATGCATGAAGCCGTATATATTAAGAGCCCCAAATAGTCCAAGAACCCAATCTAGCCATAGATAGACCCAAGAGACTGTACTTTAAACGATAAACTTTTCAGACTCTAAACCCTAAACCCATGAACCCTGAACCGATAATTTTTTCAAAATTTCGGCTAGACAGATCTCTGTGGAATTTATTCAGGATCAACCTCATTCATTGGTGTCGATAATCGGTTGGAAATTCAGGTCTCTGGAGAATTTTCAATCAAAAAATGTCATCTGGCCCCACTGTGCGCCGACGCGGATTTTCGAGAGATACTTTCTTCGAGAAGTCGCCGCTTGACGTCACCGCTTTATACGTACGCTTTTGAAAATTCCCTTATAACCTTTGTAAACCTTGACCTGAAACATCTCTCTCTCTCTCTCTCTCTCTCTCTCTCTCTCTCTCTCTCTCTCTTTCTCTCGATGAAGCGTAGTTTCTCAGAATGTTAAAGAAGTTTCGATTTGAAACGGCTGCGCGAAGAAGACGCGGAATTTCCGTTTTCTTTCCGTACAAATAATATTGGAAATTAACAAATAAATATCATTGACATAATAATTATGTTACTAATTAACTTTTTTATTTTTGTTTCTCAAAGATCGGCATTTATTCGTAATGCTTCCCCTCGGGAATGACTGAAGTGCTGCTTAATGACACGACAGCTTAGTTTCCAGAAAGTTCAACAGCAATTGCGCGAATCTGACGAATAAACATCCGATATTAAACCGTCAACTTTTAAAATGTCAACTTGAAGAACTTGTTTGAATCGTCGCAGTCGGCTTGTAATTTATTCGTTTATTTATTTATTAGTTACGGGACTGAGCCCTTTTTTAACAATCGCAAAGACATAGAAAAGAAGAAAGAAGATAATGCTGATGTTGCAGCATTCACCGTACATATGGCTTTGAATTTTATTTCAAATTTGTCACAACCGATAATAATAAGTTTAGTAGCTAATTCTTTCCGATGAGATTTACATAGCTCAGTGCAAAATTTGAAATTGAGATATTCTCTCGCTCTCTTGCGGATTTGAAGTGTTGACATTTAACTTTCCGAAATGACATATGATTCGGCGTCTGGTGCACATAACCTCAAATAATCAATAGCGTTCACGATGACTGTCAACAAAGCGGATATTCGATACGCGATGCATTTCGCATTTCATTCAAACGAAGCAACCAAAGTGATTTGTCTTATGTCGTAAGATCTAAGGTATCCCTAAAAGATCCATCTCGGGGCCTGATATGGTACACCGAAAAAATTGTATTCTTAATATAAGAAAATTTTATACTTTTTAAGTTTCCTTAACAGATATTCTTAATCTATAAGAATATTTTCTTCTTTTTATCGATATGTCTAGAATACATACTAAAATTAAGAATATACTCTTTTAGAATAACTGCCTAGCAAGAAACAAGTCGTCGATCGGTCATTAAGAAGGAAGCATACACTCTTACATACAAAGTATAATACACAATAAGGAAAGGAACCAATCAGAATCCTCATTTTTATTGCCACGTTTGAAATGAAAGACTGATTAGTTCATTTCCTTATGCGTTATGCATTATGCCTTTATGCAAAAGTGTATGCTCTTTTTATCTCAAAAACAACTTTCGCAGTATAATTATATGCAATAAATCAAAGGCAAATAAAAACCAACATTGAAATCGGATTGCAACTTTAAAATTGCATTAAAAAATGTAGCATTACAAGAGGATTAATAGCGCAACAGCGGTTAATTAATTAAATATTACAAATTGGGAATTAGAATCAGTTCGACGCAGAAAGTGTATACACGGTGAATCAACTTTCCACATCGAGCAGACTCTGATTTCTAATTTTAATTTCATTTTAAAGTTGCGATCTGATAGCAGCGTTGGCTTTTACTTACTTTGATCTATCGTATATCGTTGTATTAATATTTATATATATTAAGAATATCTATTAAGAGTATCCGTTAAGATTATTTCTTAAGAATATCTAGTACTAACACATTCGTAAGAAGATTCTCCTCTTAAGTTAAGAAAATATTCTTGGTGCCTATTTTAGATGAAATTATCCTAAACATAAGTGGGAAATTCTTAAAATAAGAATACAATTTTTTCGGTGTAATAATAAAGCATCCCTTTTTAGGGCATCCTACTTTCAGCCTTATCCGCATTAGTGGCGCTAAAACTATTCATCCCAGATGGGCCACAGGTGAGCCAGCGTTTATATGGGAGGGCCATATTTATTATATATTATATATTATTTTACCATTCATTTTAATGTTTCTAACCGTTGCGCTTTGTCTCTGGGAGAAATTAACTATAAAGATAGAATTTAAAATTAATGGCAGAATTTTAATCATGAAAATAACTTCATATAAAAAAGCTGAGAATTTGGACAGAATAGGACAGCATAATTATGTTAAAATTTTCTAAAATTTTAGGGTGGACCAAAGGGTGGGCCAGCGTATTTTTAGGTGGGCCAGGGCCCACCTAAGCCCACCCTTGGCGCCGCTTATGTTTATCTAATGGGACTTGCAGTCTGTAAAGTAAGAGCGTGCACGGCATAAATGGCAGTTGGCTTCAGATATCGTCCTAGTTTTTTGAGTGAGCCGATAGATGAAATCTTTGTCGTGAATTCTTTGTCACAAAAGATTCAGTTGGCGTCGAACTCTAACCTGAGAAACACGTTAACCGCCATGAGTGCCGCATACGCATCGCGCCACGAGGCAGTGTTCCTTTGTTCCCACCCCAAAGGACCAAAAATGTCATATGCAGAGTGGCTGCTAAATACATGGGAAAGTCAAAATCGTTCGTCGCTAAGTGGGTTCAGCAATATAAGAAGATCAAAAATGTCGATGACTTGCCAGAACGTGGCGCTCGGTAGGCAAAGTGACGCCGAATATGGAAAAAAAAATTGTGAATTTGTTTAAGCGGAACCCGACCTTAATGCTTGAAATTTATGAGAAGTGTTTGTTGCCGACTGCTGAACGATGCTTCATAAAA